CGAAGATTCGGACACCGGGATCCTGCGGTGTTCGAGAGGATTCAGAACGAGGATCTGGCAACAGGAATGAAGCTAGTGAACTGCGGTGCGAAGATTGTATGTGAAGAGTGTATGGAGGGCAAGATGACTTGTTTGCCGTACCCGGAACAGGCAGAGAGGAAGACGACGCAGCCGTTGCAGCTGATGATTATAGCAGGTACGTAGTCATTTATTTGCTAAAAGATAAATCCGAAGCGAAACAGCACATTATGAGTTTCGTGAGAACCAGTTCGGTAGAAAGCCACAGATAATTCGTTCTGACCGAGGCGGTGAGTTTGTCAATAAGGAGCTTGACAAGTTTGACCGAGAAGAGGGTATTCAGATGCAGCTGACAGCGGGGTATGCTCCACAGCAGAATGGTGTGGTGGAGCGGCGAAACCGCTTCCTGCAGGAGATGGTGGTATGCATGCTTCTCGATGCCGGACTAGACAAGCGGTATTGGGGAGAGGCAATAGCAGCAGCTGCGTATATCAAGAATCGTTTACCCTAACGGTCGGTGCACAAGACGCCTATGGAACTATGGTGTGGATAAAAACCCGATCTTAGCCACCTGAAAGTGTTCGGATGTGGAACGTTTGTTCACATTCCGGACGCGAAGCGAGGCAAGCTGGAAAACCGGGCGGAAAAGCTCATCTTCGTCGGTTATGCTTGTGGATCAAAGGTCTATCGGTTCTTGGATAAGAAGACGAACAAAATTGTCATCAGTCGGGATGCCAGGTTCCTGAAACTCGGTTCAGAGATTCAGGAGGAGCCGCCAAGTGAAGCACTGAAGGACCAGTCGCCGCAAGAGACTGTTGAAGCGGAAGGAAGAAGCAGTTCCAGAGGAACGGACGGCACGTCCGATGCTGGTTGAATTGCAGTCTGTGGCTAACGAGAGCATTGATGATGAATCGGATTTCGAAGGTTTTCCTGAGGAAGAAGAAGAAGAATGCAGTGGTTTTCCCGACTATTCCGATGCGGAGGAAGAAAGCGATGATCAAGTCGGTCCGAGTAGACCCCTGTGAGAAACTGCAGGAGTGTTACCAACAAGGTTTGAAGATTTCGTCGTCAGGATCGCCAACGTAGATGATCGGGAACCGAAGAACCACCACGAAGCGGTGAGCAGTGTAAACAGTGATAAATGGATCAAGGCGATGAACGAAGAATTCGAGTCACTGGGCCGTATGAATAAAAAGAGTTTACTTTACTTTCCCGTGCATTTCTTACGGGAAAAGTAAAGTAAACGCTTTTATTCACACGACCTACTGTTATCCAACAATACGTGGTCATTACTTCTCTACAGTGCCGTTACCAGTTGGTCGACAGGCGATAGGCTCGAAGTGGGTCTTCAAAAAGAAGAAGGACTCCGCTGGAAAAGTGGTGCGATATAAGGCAAGGCTTGTTGCCCAAGGATTTGCGCAGCGATACGGCATGGACTTCAGCGAGGTGTTCGCGCCAGTCGCTATGCAATCAACATTCAGAGTACTGCTGACAGTGGCGGATCATTGGAAGCTGCAAGTTCGTCACATCGACGTGAAGAATGCGTACCTGAATGGAGCATTAAGTGAGAACATTTATATGCGTCAACCCCCGGGATACACGGAGCTGGGAAAGGAGGAGTTGGTATGCAAGCTGAATCGAAGCCTGTACGGGCTAAAACAAGCAGCCCGTGTGTGGACGGTTAAGAAAGTGCTTCTGAATTTAGGATTCCATCAGTCAGAATCGGATGCTTGTCTGTTCTCAAAGCGGTTGGCTAACGGTGAGTGGATGTACTTGCTCATCTACGTCGACGACATGGTTGTGATCTGCCGACATCGGCGTCAGATGGATTTGCTGGAGCTAGAGCTGTGGAAACATTTCGAAATCTCGTCGTTGGGAGAGAAAAGCTTATTCCTGGGTATAAAGGTTCAAAATCACAGTGATGGATTCTATTCGCTCAGCCAGAAGTCGTTCATTTGGGAAATCGCCGACCGTTACGGGCTTGACAAAGCCAAAGGATCGAAATATCCAATGGACACTGGATATATGAAACAGCCAGATGGTGCGCTGTTGTACGTGGCCACGAACACAAGACCTGACATTGCAGCAGCCGTGTCGATTCTCAGTCGGAGTTGCAGCCGTCCGATGCAGCGGGATTGGATCGAGCTGAAGCGAGTTGTCCGATACCTGATCGGTACTGAAGATATGGTATTGCGGCTTGGAGTTGAACATGAAGATGGCGCGAAACTGGTTGGATACACTGATGCAGACTGGGCCTGAGATGTTTCGGACCGGAAATCTACCAGCGGATTTGCTTTTATGCTGAGTGGAGCAACGGTTAACTGGGCAAGCAGGAAGCAGAACTATGTTTCAACATCTACTATGAAGGCTGAATATGTCGCACTCTCGGAGGCGGCACAAGAGGCTGTATGGCTACGCCGACTACTTCGTGAGCTAGAAGAGGATCAGAAGCAGCCAACGTTGATCAATGAGGATAACCGTAGCTGCATTGACTTCGTATTGTTGGAAAAATAAGCGTAGCAAGCATATCGATACTACCCAAGTAACCAAAAGTTCTGATAAAGGCTATTTATGGCTTAAGCACCTTGGTTGAAGGTGGTCTATAGAATTCTAAGCAGCCTCATTTTTAAGTCGTTATAAGAACTTGAAAGTTCCGGTACCATAATTGAAGAGCATTCTATGCAGCCTCTGGCGGAACTTGAACGGAACTTTTAGAAAATAAATTAAAAAAGGTTTTTGTCCTCTACACCAATTCTATATTTAGTTCGCACTTTTATGAAAGTTATTTCTAAATGCAGGTATTAATGTGTATTGATTTATCAGCATTAGTATTAGTAATGGAGCTGTTTGAAGAATTAAACCCAGTTCTTCTGCGTGAGAGTCTCAGCACAAACCACCACGTCATCTGAAATATATTAAAGTGAGCTGTTGTCCCGCCTATTGTTGAAGTTTTCTGAGCCAGCTGACTGACTTGAGTACGAAACACAACACCTTGATGAATTTAAATTGGTGTTTGCCCACATGGTATTCCATCCCACTTGTGGCGCAGTGGTTAGCAATCGTAGATCACATGCCGAATACACGGGTTCGAATCCAGGAAATAACTTTTTAATATTTTTTTTATTTTTGGATAGAATGTTGCATAAATATAAGAATTACGATTTATTCGGGCCACCGATTATTTCATATTTACGTACATTAAATTTTGTTACAAAAAAAGATTTGTGCGGATTGCATCATGTGGCTTGAAAGTTCTGTCGGAACTTTATTTGAACTTTATGGAACTTGAAAGTTCTGTCGGAACTTTATTTGAACTTTATGGAACTTGGAAGTGTTGAATGCGGAACTTTTGGTTACTTGAGTAGGCACCATCATGCGAAGGATCTGTGCGCTAAGGGACTGATTCAGTTGGGATATTGTCCTACGGAAAGAATGGTTGCTGATGTTTTCACCAAGCCGTTGGGACCATTGAAGATGCAGCAGTTTGCAGCCGAACTCGGACTTGTGAAGCTGACTAGAGAAGAAGGAGGGGTCAGTGGATCAGCGAGGAGGAGTGTTGAGCGTATAAAGTTACCACAGGGGTACTGAGCCACTGAACTGAAGCTGTCAAAACAGCGAAGAGAAAGTGTACCACCTTTTGCATTAACTTTTCTAGTTTTTTCTAACGTCGCAATAAATAACACGTTGTTCATTGTAATCAGTAAAAGTATATTTCACGTTATTTCTTACGCGGTGACGAATTCCCTGTGCTTAAATTGAACTCTGTGTTGGCCAGTCCTGCCCACACACTCCCCCTATCCACCTCACCTCAATCGTAAACACGAAAAATACAAGTAGGAGGGAAATGACACTTATGTTGACCTATGGATCTAAAGATTGGGCCCATCCATTCAAGTCAAATGTAAGAAATATATAAAATGTTTGTATCTTCTTATAAACAGGAAAACCAAACTTTGCCTGACGGATAAACTTCTAATATTTCAACAAGTTTTTACACAGGCCATGCTTTATGCTGTGCCAATATGGTCTAGTTGTTGCACTACCAGGAAAAAAAGCACTTCAAAGGATTTAGAACAAAGATCTGAAGATGATTTTGAAGTTGCCTCCCTGGTACAGTACTACCGAGGTACATATAATTTCGAAGGTTTAGACTTCAGAACAAATGTACAACAAAATAATTAATAATTTCAGGCAAAAATCGTTGCAATCCTCAATTACAACGATAAATTCCCTTTATACTTAGATAAGATTTAGTTTTTAGTTTTAAGATTTCAATTGTTATAATGACATGCAGGTGTAAAATACTGAATTGCCAAGGCAGGAACAATGTAAAAACACTTAGATCTATATCATAACAATTAAGGCTGGTAAGTTACTGTAGTAACTGGAGCACCTAGGTTAAAATGGAATGTAATTTATTTTGAATTTGGAACAAATACAGAGTTTTAACAAATTTGGGCCCATCGATAAAATTCTCCCGTTCTTTAATTTTTCGTAGAACAATGCTGGACAATACAAATGGATATTTTTGTTTACTAGTTAAACATTGTCAAACAATGCTTTCGTTCGCAATTTATGTATGAACCCAATAATAGGGGCATTAACTTTTCAAAAATCCGTGCCACAGAGCTTTAAAAACGCGCAACATCCGCGGCAAATGCAAATTCCGCACAAAATTCAAAATCTGTAATTTTATTTTTCAGTGATTAAAATTAAAATTTCTTAACCCATTTTCCACACTGAAAATTAACCGTTAAGAAATACTGCTGTGCGATGCAACAGTTTACGCGACTCGATGTGAAGCAACATTTTGGTGGCTGTATTGTTGTATTTATAGATGTATGAAACATATATACCACACCAATTGAAACCTGTACATACTACAGATGCACACCACACTCACAACAAGTGCCGGATTTGTTCTTCTCTTCTTTCAGTCCAGCGTTTACATTCAGAGAGAATACTTTATATTTTTAACATCGCCACTGAACGTCAGTCAATTTATTGTAGTTGATATTTGAACTCTACTCTACACTTTTATCGTACTAATCAAAACTATCCACAAGTTTTAAAATGTCCTGGTACTATACTGTAAGTAGAAACGTCATTTTTTCCAACTCGTAAAACACACCTAGATCTATTTATACTCGTCTGATGCGGACATTTCCAATCATTAGCCTCACCCCACCGTTTATCCAGCGGAGGAATTTGACGCTGCTGGCGATGCAGCTGCCCTACGGAAAGCCATGAAGGGCTTCGGCACCGATGAGCAAGCCATCATCGACGTCCTATGCGCCAGGACCAACCAACAGCGTCAAGAAATTTCGGAAGCTTTCACCCGCGAACTAGGTCGGGTATGTGAATAGAATTAACAAAAGTGGTTACCACCACCTAATATGATATTATCCTACAATTACGATCATTGTAGGACTTGATTGAAGATCTGAAATCTGAGTTGGGCGGAAAGTTCGAAGATGTAATTATCGGACTCATGCTGCCTCCTGCCAAGTATCTCTGCAAGCAATTGCACAAGGCCATGGATGGCATCGGAACTAACGAAAAAACACTGATCGAGATTCTGTGCTCGTTGAACAACGAACAAATCCACGACGTAGTGGCCAACTACGAAGAGATGTACGACCGTCCATTGGCAGAACATCTTTGCAGTGAAACTTCCGGTAGCTTCAGGCGGCTACTGACAATGATCTGTATAGGATCACGCGATCCTCAAGGAACCGTTGATCCGGATCTAGCCGTCGAACAAGCTAACCAGTTGTACAATGCAGGTGAAGGCAAGTTAGGTACGGATGAGGAGGTATTTTACAAAATCCTGGCTCACGCTAGCTTTGACCAGCTGGAAATCGTATTCGACGAATACAAAAGTCTCACTGGCCGGACGATCGAACAAGCTTTGAAAGCCGAACTCAGCGGAGAATTATACGATGCGCTAAGTTCGATCGTTGAATGCGTGCAAATGACCCCACATTTCTTCGCCAAAAGGCTACACAAAGCCATGGATGGCGTCGGAACTGACGACGCAGCTCTGATTCGTATTATAATCTGCCGTTCGGAGATCGATTTACAGAACATCAAGGATGAGTTTGAGCAAATGTACAACAAATCGCTGTATAGCGTTGTCAAGGTTAGCAATCGCAAATCGATACAGTAACCCTGTGTGAACTGGTACATATGACTAATTGATTTATTCTGCTCATTACAGGGAGAAACGTCTGGTGATTACAAGCGTGCCTTACTTGCACTTATCGGCGATGCTTGAACAAATTCCTACCATGCAAAGCAGAAGCTATGTACGCCTATCGCTTCAAAATGTGTCAACATATTACAAACCGATTTATCCATTAAACCCACTCACATCTCCAAGCTCTTCTAATGTGATGAATAATCGCAAATTGCCAAACTAAACATCGGAACATTAGAGGAGGCCTCGAATCTCTATGATACAGAATAAAGCGTAAATGGTTCATCTTTGTATTGGTTGAAAAAATAATCATTCGCTGCTGAAAATATCTTATGCATGCATCCATATACGTGTGTTTGTGTATACTTGCTGTAACTTGCGCGGAATACTAAACTAAACGTGTCAGTCACTGCAGAATAACAAATAAAACCGCCATGTTCGTAATGGTTTCCTGTGTGGAATAATTATTGCCTTCTGTTTTGCTACGACTAGTAAGGTATATGACACGTGTCACTAATGCAGCTGCAGATGGCTATACATCATTGCAGCACACAAGTACATGTACATTCATCGGTATGTTTCAAACCGAACCACTAGAATCTCCTCCTATCCTCTCCTATCTTTGTCGAATGTCAGGTGTTTAATGTATCATCTTTTAGTACAACATCATAAGTTGTTTTATTGTATTAAAATTCAAATAATGTTCATACCACAAAACCATTTGTTCCAATCATCAATTCAACCATCAATAGAGATGGATGTGGAAAAAATCTACTTTAGTTGGAAAACTCAAATATTTTAAAACTGCAAGCATTTTCAATCAAATTAATTACAGCTCTGTAAGAGGGAGAGAGAAACGAGAAGCCAGATCTGCAGCCAAATTGAACTGTCATAAAAGTGCAGTCAATCGACCAGAAGACCTGTCAGTGGGTAGAAAGTAATTCATATTAGATTGAAGTATTCGGATCATTATAAAACATATCTTTAATAACGTTTGACCTCAAATCTCTAATTTAAACAAAAATACTCGACGAAAGCAACGAGTATGCATGGTGTGAACCTCGATGTAAACAATGCTTAGGGTTGCCAGTGTATGCGTGAGAAAATATCATCATGCCAGTTATTTTATTTGCTTCGCTTTCTCTCTCTTATATGAAGGCTTGCAAATGCTCATTCCAGCTAAAATGCTACTTTCCGCAATTATGAAACTGTGGGATATTATAATAACAATTTTTAGATACAGGCAAAGGAGGAAAAGCTTGTGTATGACACATAAAACCTGTCAATTTTTCTTTTAGAGGGTCACAATTAGCGATTTTAGCTGTAATGAGCAATCGCGATGAGTGAGCACTCATAGTTATTTATTTATTTATAGTAGTTGTCTTAATGAATAAAACTTAGATAATACACAAAAAAGCAACAGATAAACAGATTACAAAAATAATAACAATCTTCTCAATCGGTTTCGAAATTGGTTCGATGTTTCTCCGAATTCAAATGCTTCTTCCACAGCGGAGAATGCCCGAATCATCGCAGACATTGGCTCATGGTATCCATATGCAGTCCGATGGAATCTTGGTTGTAGATGGTAGTACTGCACCAGGGAGGCAACTTCAAAATCATCTTCAGAACTTTGTTCTGAATCCTTTGAAGTGCTTTTTTCCTGGTAGTGCAACAACTAGACCATATTGGCACAGCGTAAAGCATGGCCGGTCTAAAACCTTGTTTAAATATTAGAAGTTTATTCGTCAGGCAAAGTTTGGATTTCCTATTTATAAGAGGATACAAACATTTTATATATTTGTTACATTTGGCTTGAATGCCCTCAATGTGATCTTTAAAAGTTAATTTTTGGTCAAGTACTAATCCAAGGTATTTCATTTGGTTTGATCAGGAAATTGGAACTCCGTTCATAGTGACTATGTGACTACCACTAGGTTTCAAAAAAGAAGCTCTAGGCTTATGTGGAAATATTGTAAGTTAAGTTTTGGAAGCGTTGGGTGAAATCTTCCATTTCTGTAAATAAGAAGAGAAAATATCTAAACTTTTCTGCAGTCTGCTGCAAATAACACGAAGACTTCTTCCTTTAGCGGAAATGCCTGTGTCATCAGCGAACAAAGATTTGTGGCAGCCCTGAGGCAAATCAGGGAGGTCCGAAGTGAAAATGTTATACAATAAAGGCCCAAGAATGCTACCCTGAGGAACTCCTGCTCTAACAATGTAGTCGTACGGATTTGGAATTTTGTTAGTTTACCTGCCGAGTTCTGTCAGTTAAATAATTTTGACATAGTATAAAGTGGCAAATTAAACTTTTTCAATTCAGCATGCCCAAACACTGTCGAATCGCTTTTTAATTTGTTTTTGTAAATCCCGCCAGATAACTTTCATGGCAGGATCGCGTGTTCTTTGATAGTGTCTCCTACGGACATTTTTAAGACGGATCAAGAGCTGAAGATCGTCGCCTATTATAATTCAATCTAATTTATCCTCGCATTTTGGTACTGAGGCAGCTCTTGCTTCAACTATAGAAGTAGTCAGAGATTCAAGAGCTTAATTAACATCATTTTTGGTTTGCAAAGGAATGTTTGAATCGAAGTTATATTCCATAAATGATCGATATTGCTCCCAATAAGCTCTATGGGAATTGAAAGTAGAGCTGTTGGGATCAGAAATTATTTCTTGGGATATTTCAAAAGTTACTGGAAGGTGATCAGAACCGAAGTCAGCATGGGTAACCAATTGGCTACAAAGTTGACATGAATCAGTTAAGACCAAATCAATAGTAGAGGGATTTTTTGCTGAAGAAAATCATGTTGGGCTGTTTGGATATTGAATAGTGTAATAACCTGCAGAACAATCATCAAACAGAATATCACCATTGGAGTTGCTTTGAGCATTATTCCATGAGCGGTGTTTTGCATTAAAATCGCCAATAATTTTAGGCCTATGACGGGAAGTTTCTGAAGGTCACCCTTGAGAAAATTCTTTTGCTGGCCTACGCATTGAAATTGCAAATAGGCAGCTATAAACGTAAGTTGTCCAAATTTTGTTTCAACATAAACTCACAAAGTTTCAAAAAATTTGGTTTCAAATGAAGAAAGAATTTTATGTTTGATTCGTCTATGAATAATGATGGCAACGCCACCACAGGGTCCATCAAGACGATCATTTCTATAAATCAAGTAATTTGAGTCCTTCTTAACCTTATGGCCAGGTTTAAGGAACGTTTCAGTTATAACGGCAATATGCACGTTATGAACTCCCAAAAAGTTAAATAGCTCGTCTTCATTATCTTTAATAGATCGAGCATTCCAATTTAAAATCCATTGCTAAATTTCAATGTCATGACGATATTGTTCGCAAATTTAACTCCAGTTTGAATAACATTAAACATGGAGTTAGATTTAAGCATATCAGTAATCATGTCAATTAATGATTTCTGTAAAAAATCAATTTTAGAAGCAGCTTCCTAAATCAAAATTTTCAAAATTTCCGTTAGAATTACATTGGCTAGTATTTTGATTTCTGCCCGCTGCAATAGCAGCATAGGTAGCTGCATTTACTCGCTGAACATTGTTAGCAGCGAGGGAAGTCGGTATATAAATTAATCTCTTTGAATGGAATAAAGTCTGGAACGCGCAAAAATTGGTCAACTTCAAATTGATGTATTTCTGTTAAAAATGCATTTAAAAAACCTGAAATGCTGCATTTGGAAATTGAGTGTATATACAATGGTTGCTATGATGAGTTTTCATCGTTTGCTCTCCAGTTTTCAAAATGACGTCCAAGCAAGAGGAGCGTGTCAAAATTTTGCTCGCGCAGCAAGAGAATCCGACGTTCTCACACGCCAAGTTGGAAAAAATGCTAGATGTGGGCAAAACGACCGTGACAAACGATTGAAAAGTGTTCGGGGAGCGTCTGTCGACCGCCAGGAAGCCTGGAAGCGGCGGCAATCGTAATCCGGACGAGGCAGCGACGACGAAGAAGGTGGTGGTGAAATACAAGCGGAATCCTAACCTCTCCATCCGGGACGTCGCTGGCAAGCTCAATGGCTCCCATACTACTGTGCAGCGGGCCAAGAAACGAGCCGGGTTATCGACGTTTAAGAAGGTGAAGGTGGCGAACCGAGATTACAAACAAAACACGTCGGCAAAGCGGCGGTCCCGAAAGCTGTATACGAATCTGCTCACAAAGTTCGACTGTGTCGTTATGGACGACGAAACTTATGTGAAGGCGGATTTCAAGCAGCTTCCGGGACAGGAGTTTTATACCGTATCAGGAAAAGGGAAGGTGACTGAAATGTTCAAAACCATCAAACTATCGAAGTTCCGGAAAAAAAAATATCTCGTCTGGCAGGCCATATGCACGTGTGGTCATTTAGCGGCATCAAAAAAAAACTAATAAATCGATGGAAAACGAGTAGCAGTTTAAATCTAACTGGCGTTCGGCGACGAATAAGGTTGATGAGACCACTGTGCAAAATTTAATGGAAGGGGTTAAGGGGAAGGCACGGCAGTTCGGATTTGGCAAACCAAAACAATAAACGAACATTTTTCCTTTAAATATATGAATTGAACTACCAAAAGAAAAATAAGAAGATTTTTGTGATAAGAATTTTGACTGAAAGAAACGATTTTTTTGCGCGTTTCAGTCTTTATTTGCGATTGATTTAGATTAAACTACTCTTACTTCAATCATTAATTAAATGGAACACTTTTTGAATTGGTTTGCATTCAATAACATTTATTTACACGGAATTTTAAGTGGCTTATGGAATCATTTTTCGATCGAAATCGATATTAAAGTTTGCAGTTCCTATCATAATGAAAACTCATTTTGATTTCAATTGTTGCGACATAAGTCTGATATCATACTGTGCTTTCAAATATGCAGTCAAAACTTTTTAAATGAAAGCAACTTAACTTGAAGTTTTGCTGTTAGCGTCTCGTTAAAAATTTAATTTAAGTTCATCTGTTGTTGAACTCAGTGGCGTCGCGTAACCTCACTTTTTACCTGTTCAACAACTTTGAAAACGTTATTTAGGGTCATGCTTACATTCAAACCAGTTTTAAACGGAACAGGGTCTTCTAGTTTCACTGATTTGTATCCATTGGAAGCCGTTTTTTTAAATTTATTTAAGTTTTGAGAGCAATTGCACAGGTAGATTGAGGTTAGGGCGACGCCACTGGTTGAACTAAAAAATATTGTTTATTTGTTTTGTTTAAAACATTTTAGGTTATTCATGACTTTCCCAGAGTGAGCTTTGAACTTAACTCTTTCAGCGTCAGAAGCATGGATACTAACCATTTACGCCACGCCCGTATTCAGTTAAATAATATGAATGCAAAATCAGCAATCAAATTGATTTAATTGAAAGTAAGATTAGCTTTTCGTTTGATTCAACAGTGTAAAATATTGCTCTCATTTTTGCTGTGTTACACGTTAAGTCAACCAAAATGAGATCAATTGGTGTATT